TTAAAAAAAAGTAGAGTCCTCCCCTGTGTGTTTTTTCCTTTGCGAGGTTTAATGTTTTGTGACTCCCACCCCAGAAACCCCCCCCCCCACCCTGGCTGGGGAATTCTGGGAAATGAAGTGCACACATCTTCAAGCTGCCAAGGTTGAGAAACACTGGTCTAGCCATTATATAGACAGCCCATGATCAGAATTCATCTGACAAATGAACTTGTAGGCAACAACAAGGGCATTTCTTTTTAATTACAGTAGGATTTAACATTTTTGTTTTATATTCTTTTGATTGTGCTGTTTTGCCACAACCTTGCAATCTATTGTGTTTGGATGTACACAAGACTCTCTTACATGTGTACCATCAATATTTCCAAGAGGGAACAGGACAATTTTGTGTTATGTGTGTATGTATGGTTATATTATTTAGTCTATTGTTACAAAGTGAACAGGAATGTTAGAAAAAAACAGGCACATACGACAAGTGCATCTGGACATCCATGTGGGTGAGAATAGCCAATGAGTATTAAAGTAGCTAGAATAGCCAGTGAGTATTTCTAAAAACTACTGATGTCTTGACTTCTGTAGAAAAGTATATATGTTTGGGAAAGGTAGCTCCCCACTTCTCTTTGTAAATCCTCTCAAATAATATAAAATTAAAAAAAATTAAGAGCACAATGCAATTTTGGAATGTATTAATAGATGTTTTATATTTATATTCCAGAAAGCAGTACTTTCACTCTATTCGGTTTTATCCAGGCCACATTTGCACATGTTTAACACCACATTTTTAAGGAGGGCACTGAAAAATGGTCTTTGTACAAAGAAGAACAGCCAGGATGGCAAAAAGAGCTAAAAACAAGCCATATATGGAATAGCTAAACGATTGGGAAGAGAGGCATCTTTAAGCATCTGAAAGATCTTCCAGCAGAATATGAAGGATGGGACTACAATTAATGGATGAAAGTGCAGAGAAAGTGATTTCAGCTAAATTTTAGGATAAATGCTAAGCCAGAATATGTAAGCTAATATTTTGGCTAAACAGACTGTCTCAGGGTTAGAGTTAGGTAAAGGTGATCTCTCCTTACAGGAGACATTGAAACAGAGGCTGGCCAATCATCATTTAGGGGCTGATTCATACGGCCCCCACCCTGGTCCCTTTTAAATGAGTGTAAGACCTGTGTCCCCAGCACTTGGGTTAGAGGAGGTGAAGGACCTTTTGCCTAGTGTTCTGGTTTTTTAAATGATTGCTGTTTTTTCCAGCCTACTGATGATTTTTGTATCTTTATAGTATTTTTCTTGTTGTATTCTACAAGCCTCCATGAGTCATAACAGATTGAGGTGTCATCAATCAATCAATCTTAGCATCATAAAACTGGAAGGAACTATTTACATCAGAGTTTCCCAACCTTGGGAACTTTCAGATGTGTGGACTTCAGCTGGGAGTTGAAATCTGAAAGTTCTCAAGGTTGGGAAAAACGGATTTAGACCATCAAATTCAATTCTCTTCCGAGTGCAGGAATTCAAATGAAAACACCCAGTCTAACTGCTGCTCAGCCTCTATTTGAATGTATTCAGTGAAAGGGTGGTCAGCTCTCCATGAGTAACTGGTTGTGCAATGGAACTACTACTACTGTTAAGAAAGTTATCCTAATATATACAGTTGTCTGAAAAGTTTAGACATATGCAGTCAAATTGTATGTTTCTGTGTATCTCTAAGTGACAAGAACTTTACCTGAAGTCTGTTTGCTTGTAATTTTGTATCCTGCTCTCCAGAGCAATAGAGAGCAGGTCTTAGCCTTCTGTCCAATGTTGGTTCACATGCTGTCATACACCCTGTCAATCTTCTCAAGCTGAAGCAAACTCAGTTCCTTCCACTTCTTCTCATATGATTCACTTTCTAAGCCCCAATTACTTTGGTTGCCCTTCTCTGAATCCTTTCAAACCAAAGTGCCCAGAACTGTACATAGTTTTCAGAGTAATGTCTGAACCGTTTAGAATAGAGTAGAACTGTTATTTTCTGTGATCTGGAAAACTATACTTTTATCGATGCATCCTAAAATTGCATTTTTGTTTTCAGCAGTGCTGACTCATATTTAGCCTGCAGTGACTTTTCACATGCACTATTGCCAAGTCAAATAACCCCCAAGTATTTGTTTGCCTAAGTGAAGAGCTTTGAATACGTTTCCTCTAAAATGCATTGTTATTCTTTCAGTCCCTTCTCTAACCACTGAAATCTTCACAAATTCTCTTTTCTTTCTTTGAAAATTATCACACCCAATACTGAGTCTTTTGCAGATTTGTTAAGCATTCCCCTTTCCCAACCATTAATAAAAATGTTAAAGAACATTGAACCCTGCTGTGCTGCAGCCAACATGTTCTTTCGATGAGAGGAGGAACTCTTGATGAATATAGTTTTCAAGCCAGCTGTTGGCCCAGTTAACAGTCCTGCCATCCAATACTCACTTAACTAGCTTGTTAATTAGAGTTAGCATCGGGCATTTTGTCAGATGATATAGACTGCAGATCTTACATTGGCAGTGAGTTGATCTCTAAGGTCCCTTTCAGCTCTACAGTTCTGTGATTACTGCCACATCAGATATCAGTGCCAACCAAGTGATATGCAGGGATAGAAAACTTCAGAAGTTTTGGACTACAACTCTCATACAGTAATCATGTATCATTGACCATACTGATTGGGGCTGCTGGAATTGAAAAGCCAAAATGTCTGGAGGACAGAAGTAAGGACACTTATGCAAAACTGGTGCGTGTGTGCGTGTGTGCAAATAACTATCCTTAAAACTAATAGAAGACCACCAACTGAAAGCATTCTGTTGTGTCTTAAAATAAGCCACACAAGCATTTCATTGCTCATACTTACAATTCCCTCCTTTAGATTAAATCCAGTCTCTCTCCTGCCCTTATCTCATTGTCATTTTATCTGAATATATTTATTTAAAAGTCACCCCCTGATCTCCCCTACTCTTGGGCAGCTTTTGCTGCCTATCACCCCCATCCACATTTGAGCTCAGTGACTGCTTGGTAGAAAACCTTCTGAGTTTCAGAAAAATGATTGTAACGTGGGCACGGCAGGCAGTATTCAAAGTAAAATATATTGTTTCCATTTGTATTAGTTTAAAAGACCTAAAGCAGTTAAATCATGTAACTGACTAATCACTTGCCAATTTTTCTTTTTTTAATCTAATATATATTAATTTATTACCCTGCCAAAATGCAAATGAAATTGGACTGCTTCCAACCTCTCTTCCATTACAACACAACTTAAGGTCTTCATAATTTGAGTAAAACATTTTTTCCCAGTAAAAACATTTCTTCTTGCCTGTTTGAATGCTGTTTTGCAAGTTTCAGCCTGAAGCAAAAGTTCAGCCTGAAGGAACTG